GATTAAATTGGGCCTAGTCGAGTTGTAACTTTCTATGCCAAGCAACAGGATTTTAGCCATTGACTTGAATGTTCTCAGCACACGCAACTCACAAATTTGACATAAAACCACATAACACTTTAATATCGCTTGACATCTGCACGGAGCCACAGCCTCAGAAGGAACCTCCTGCCATATTGTCTACTATTGTCGTCTTCAGAAACTTGGGCACCTCTTCGTTCTCCGTGGCTTCGTGCAGCATCTCAAAGTCCTACAAGAAATGCAAATGAAACATCATAGAGAGAGAGACAGAACAAACTGGTGTTCTGGGTTTGCTTTCACAGGGGGCAATGTATCTGGAATTAGAGCATCACTGTGTGCAGCAAGGGAGGACAACAGATAGACAACCTGAAGGGCGGGATGCTCTTTTTGTTGGTGGTTTCCATCTTTGGCAGGGGGCTGGATTCAAAGATGATCCAGTTCTCACATTGCTGCCAACTTATCAGACCTTTAGAAAGGACAAAACAACGGGTGGGAGAGAAGAATCTCCTTGGACAAAGTATGGAATAACCATACCTACCTGCCCAGAGAGGGAGTTCTAAAACTGAAGGAAACCAACGAAAAGGCCCTGCAAATGGTCCTGATCCGTGGAGTTGCAAGGGGAAAGACAGAGGCCAAACTTCAGATGAAAACAGATCGATAAAACAAACGCAGCTGTAACTACGTCCCTGTGCTGATAACTTTAGCTTCCCACCCCAAGTCTGATGGCTCTTACCCCGCAGTACTCCTCTCCATTAAAGATCTGAGGTGGGATGGCATCAGGCTTGCCTGCTTTGTCCCTCATCTCTTGGAGTAAACGTTCGCTGATGGACACATCCACTAACTGGTACTTCAGCCGATTTCCATCCAGAATGCGAAGGACTTCGGATTGTCGCTGCCTCACCTAGACAAACGCAAGCTTTCCCGTTAAATAAAGAGTGGTGGACAGAAGAGCTTTCAGGCAAGCTGGAATTAGATGATCAGTTTTAAAACTCCTGGGAATCGCTGGCCACCTTGCGTAGCATTGCTGGACTCCCTCACTGCTTAAGGAAGCTCGCAGTTCAGTGAAAAGTGATAAGAAGGGAAGGAAAAAGGACAGGACCCATCCTGGCCATAAGATAAATGCCATAACTCAGTGGTCCCCAACCTTGGGCCTCCAAATGTTCTTGGACTACAACTCCCAGAAGCCTTCACCACCACCTCTACTGGCCAGGATTTCTGGGAGTTGAAGTACAAGAACATCTGGAGGCCCAAGGTTGGGGACCACTGCCATAACTCCACATGAGGATGGCACCTTGATTTTATTCATGGGTTGGGTGGTTGATTTAAATTTTTAGAAGAAGAATTGTGTGCTGCCAGTTTTGACCTAAGGTGACTTTTTCCAAGGTTTTGTAGGGTAGGGTATGCATAGATGTGGTTTCCCATTCCCTTTTTCTGGGGGGGGGGATGCCCTGGGACTGTACAGCTGGCCCAAGGCCACCCAGGTTGGCTCTTCCCCCAGGAGGCCCAATGGGGGAATCGAACTCTCAACCTCTGGCTTCGCAGCCAGAGACCTAACGCCCTGAGCTATCCAGCCAGCTGAAGCCTTTGTAGCCCGCCCTCAGGGCAGGTTACAGAGCTGTAGAAAAAAAAACATTTTAAACAGAAGATGTTTAGAACATTTTAAAATCAGAGAGTGCTCTCTGGTTGCGGGCTGATGGGTCCTGGAGTCCCCACCGTCCCTCACCTCCCGCGACCCCGTGACGCTGGTGTAATAGACCCGAATGGTGCCCATCTTGCAACCAGCTCTGCACCTCTGCGCCACCGGCCCGCCCCCTCCTCGGTCGCTATGGCAACACAACGGCCGGAGCGACTCGGCTCTTTCGAGGTCCCGCCCTTCTCTGCCCGGAATGGTCTCCCGGAGCTGTCACTCAAAGGAAGAAGCCCGCCCTCCAGCTCCTTGGCCTTTCTCGGCTCTCTGGCGCCCCCTTCGATATGGTCGAGTTACGACAGCAGTCATAAATTAAAACGTTGAGCGCTCCAGGCTTCGTCCCTCAGCTGTCCAGATAACGACTTTATTGGCGGAAAAAACATTGGAGGGGGATTCAGTGTATTTTCTTTTCTTTTCTTTTCTTTTCTTTCTTTCTTTCTTTCTTTCTTTCTTTCTTTCTTTCTTTCTTTCTTTCTTTCTTTCTTTCTTTCTTTTGCCCTGTCAATATTCCTCTGAAATTCTCAAGGCACAAACTTGGGTCATCCCGACTCCCGGTTTGAAAAATACAGTAATTCCGTCTAGGACTACAGCACCTATAATCCCTCGGTTAGCCTGGCCCCTTGCAATCATATTCCCCTTTATCTGTCACTCTGAGGGGCTGCAAGGCACTCCCAGCAGGGTGGGCCACCTGAGGTCCATCCTCCACATGTTGTTGGACTGCACACCCCATCATCCTCTTACCATTGGCTGTCGTGGTCAAGGCTGCTTGGCATTGTAGTCAAACAAAACCTCGAAGGCTAGAATATGCCTATGACTATATTAGGTGCTCATGAGACTGAATAGACATGTATTTATTTTCCCTTACTATATTATTTATTACATCTGTAGCCCTCCTTTGGTATTAATTTAGCTCTTTTTTATTTTTATTGTTTGGTAAGTGAGGTTGTGTTTATGATTTTATTTTTATTTTTTATTTTTTGGCTTTAGATCCGTGGTGCCCAAGCTTGGGTCTCCAAATGATCTTGGACTACAACTCCCAGAAACCTTCTCCACCACCTCTTGCTGGCCAGGATTTCTGGGAATTGCAGTCCAAGAACATCTGGATTACCCAAGGTTGGGAATCATTGTGCTAAAAGATTGTGTTCTAGGCAGCTTGCAAACTGTTTAAATTTCCACACAGACAAACCCAGATCAAACCAAATGGAGCTTTAAAAATATTAATAAGCCTTATATAAATCAGCCCTGTCAGGTGTGCTGGATAGCTATGATTGAGGAAGTCTAGGGTTCCCCAGATGATGTTGACCCACTTCCCCAAGGAAGACATGGGGCCATAGGTCAGGCAATGAGAAGAGTCATAGTATATGGGTCTAAGGCAGTGCTTCCCAATCTCAGGTCCCCAGATGTTCTTGGACTACAACTCCCAGAAATCCTGGCCAGCACAGCGAGTGGTGAAGGCTTCTGGGAGTTTTAGTTCAAGAACATCTGGGCACCCAAGGTTGGGAACCACCCCTCTAAGGGCTGAAAACCAACCTGGTACAGTTAGAGTTGGTAGGAAATCAGTTAAAAATGGAGGGGCACGCGTCTCCTTTAGATTCCTAAATCTCCCCGTCAGCAGCTAAAAATCAGATGTGTCAGCTGACCTTCGGCTTGTGAGCAGAGATGAGCACTGCAACTTGCGCAAGGTCTACTGGCAGTAAAAGGAAACTGGAACAGATGAAGCAAGGGTGGCAACCTACATCGGGGTGAGTAATCTGAGGATCCGCTAAGTATTGACTAGTGAGGAAAATCCCCCCTTACTGCACAATCCTAGGTAGGTCTGGGTGGGCTTTCTCAGAAGTAAGTGCACCTCCATTTTCTTTCTCTCTTTCTGCTGTTCCTTTCACAAGACTAATAAGCTTCTAAAGATGATGCAGATGGATGGATGGATGGATGGATGGATGGATGGATGGATGGATTAGATAGATTAGATAGATTAGATAGATTAGATAGTTAGCTAGCTAGCTAGATAGCTAGATGGATAGATGGATAGATGGATAGATGGATAGATAGATAGATAGATAAGTGCACCTCCATTTTCTTTCTTCCCTTCTGCTGTTCCTTTCACAAGGGCTTGCATGAAGACTACTAAGCTTCTAAAGATGATGCAGATGGATGGATGGATGGATGGATGGATGGATGGATGGATGGATGGATGGATGGATATGAGAACAGCTGTCTTAGGATAAAAGATCCTTTGCTACTCTGCCTCAGGCAGTACAATATCTGGGGTCAGCCGTGCTGTGTTGGATCACCATGTCTCCAGACACCACTCATAGTAGAACATCTGTCTTGGGATAAAAGATCCTTTGCTACTCTGCCTCAGGCAGTACAATATCTGGGGTCAGCCCTGCTGTGTTGGATCACCATGTCTCCAGACACCACTCATAGTCTTAGGGGACCCTAAAAAAGGTCCTGAGCTTGTTGACTTAGGTTTAGAGAGTTGGACACAAGCATTAGCTGTTGGAGACCTTTGTCACCTTGATTCAGGATGCAGGTTATAATTTATGTGTGCTGGAGGGATGAACGGACAAATTCTTTGTAACTGATGTTACGCGTTATTCTTATATTCCAAGTTTTAAAGTGTTGCCTCTTATGCCTGTTGAGGTCTCTGTATGTCAGGATTGGAGAAGAGCAAGGCCCAGGAGCAGTGATACAGTGGTAAATTTAAAAGTGTAGGGGCTCCCCCTGACAGCCTCTGTAGTGACCTCACTCCAGAACGAGAGGCCAAACAGGCAGGATGCTGGATCCGTGCATTTCAGCTATTAAGGAACAGGGCTTTTGTAAGGGTGAGGGTTCTTGATTTCCCACTCAAGACCAAACCACCAACTCCATCCATAAAACTCAGTGCAGACAGATGACTGGAAAGCTACTGCTGCTCTAAGGGGTTCTTCCATGGTCATTCACTAAGTGATCGCCAGTAATGAAGCAATCATACTTTCTGGTTTATTAACCCCAATTTATCTGTCTTAAAAGCACCTTTGCTTTTGGGCAACACATACATCTGCAGACAAGACAGGATTCACTGTGGCACCCAACCTTATCTATAGAGCAGATCATTATTTTCAGAACGTTCACTTTAACCCGAGTGCACTTTCATTACTGAGCTGTTCTTCCTATTTCCCACAGAGTTCCCCAATTAGCTCCAAGTTGCTTGGAAAATGAAAATTTAGCTTATTGCACAATTGTTTTAAAGAAAAGAGGAGGGAAAAAAAATCACATATCCTCTTTTCTATTTGCTGTTGTTGTCACTGAGCATGAACGCAATATTTTCCACTAGGCGTGACTTCCGTATCAGACATATTAAAACAAGAACCAAGACATTGAAAGAAGCAAGACATTGGAAAGGTCTTGCAGAACGAGGAACCAAGAATGCCTTCGATCCAGCTTTGCTGCCATTTTCAAAGCTGATTTTACTCTTCCCTGCTTGCAAAGGTATGTCATGTAAATTTTTTTTCTTGGCATTTATTTCAAATAAAATCAAATGAAGAATATTGGCATTAACTTCCACTCTGCTTCCAGCCTAACCCTATGTTCATTTGCTCGGAATTATGTCTGACTGTATCTAACTCTTATTCCATAGTTAGTATGTTCAACACTCTAGCCTTTAAACATTGCATTCTTAAATGCAGTTCATTGGGAGTAACTCCCATGGAGCTGAATAGGACTGTGTTGTTGTCATGCTGTCAAATTCCCTCCAACTCATTCATTCCCTATGAATGAGTGACTTCCAAAACGCCCCATCCTCAACTGCTCAGCTCTTGCAAACTCAAGACTGTGATTTCCTTTATAGAGTCAACCCAACTCATTTTTGGGCTTCCTCTTTTCCTGCTACCTTCAACTTTTCCTGGCCTTGTTCTATTTTCAAGCAAATCTTGCCATCACACAACACGGCCAAAGTGGGGCAGCCTCGGTTTCATTATTTTTGGATTTGCTAACAAAACACAAGCTTGATTAGACCTAAGGCTAACTCATAAGCAGATGAGGTTTTGCATCCAAGCATGGATGTGTCAGATTGCATTATAGGGCTACCGTTTCTGTTCTTGCCAAAATTTGGGAATACATACCAGTGAAATCAGCAGGATGTAGCCCTAAATAAGAGTGTATAGAGCTGACCTGTGAAATTCTCTACAAACTGCTTTATGCAAGTACCACTGGAATGTTAGACCTCTTCTACCATCTTATCTTCCGTTTGGAGGGATATCGGAGGGCAATCCTCTGATTTCTGTCTGAAAATGTGTTCGGTGGAAATCGGGTTTAAAAATAAAAGCTGGGATCATTCCTGCATTGAGCACGGGGTTTGGATTTGATGGCCTTACAGGGCCCTTCCAAATCAATTGTTCTATAATTCTGTGATTCTATGTTGGTGCAACTATGCCTATGGAATGATGTCACCATTAGGAGAGATTTTTGGAACTAAAGACTCCCCTGCTCTCTCCCATGACTTTTTCAGTTTGTGACATGATCTGTCTCATTGCACGAAAGTGGTGGGACAACAGTTGGCCACCACTTTCGTGCAATGTACTTCATTAACAGCAACTGGACATTAAAATTACATCGCACTGTAATATCCAATGGCAGCTGGCTGCTGTTTTTCCTCAGATAACTGGAAAACCATTGTCCTAGAGTAGTGGTTCCCAAGGAAAAGAGCAGTAGTTCAATTCCTACCGAGCAGGGGTGGAGAAACATCAGTCAGATGATGTACTGCTTCCATGATGTCTCACTTTGAGCTTGGGAAAGCTGTTTTTTGTCAAGTACAGCCACTGCCCATGTTGGTTGCAGAATGCTGGAAGTTTCAATCCCCCAAAGTAACTTTTCCAAGTCCTGCTGGGACTAGGCTTTGAGGAAACATCTCATGATGTTTGCTGGAACATTCGGTTCCGCATTGACTTCAAAGTGTTGATGCTTACGTATAAAGCCCTAAACGGTTTAGGGCCTCGATAATTGATGGAACGCATACTCCCACCAAGATTTACCCGTATCACTCGATCGAGCCAAGAGGTGAGGCTGAGGAGCCTAACGCCGAGGGAGGCCCGGAAGGAAAAAAACAAGAATTCGGGCCTTCTCGGTGGTGGCTCCTCGCCTCTGGAACAACCTCCCTCTAGAGATTAGTGAGGCCCCTTCGCTGGGTAGTTTTAAGAACCAATTAAAAACTTGGATGTTTAAGCAGGCCTCCCCCCCCCCAGTTAATACTTAACTTTCCCTTCTTTATTTACCTTCTGTTATTTCTTTTCCATCTTGAAGAATTTGTTTTTTGATCTAATTTTTTTTTCATTTTGTTATATTTATATGCTGTTTTTATCTGTTTGGAAGGCGCCTAGAGTTTTCGCAAGACCAGATAGGCAGGATAGTAAACAAACAAACAAGCAACCGGAGGGCGGTCGGTTCCTCAGTTCTGTGGCGGCGGTGAAGTCTCCCATTGCTGAATTAAGGCAGGAATGGCAAACCCGTTTAGTGTTGTGCTATGAAATTTCTTGTCCTTTTCCAAAATGACTTATGTGTACTTTCCTTCTCTTTTAAAGGAAACCTTCTCAACATTACCCGCTTAGGCAGTCTCCATCTGATCCAAGATGCTGGCAGAAAGCTTCCTTACCAGCATTGCCTACAAAGCTGAATTGCAAGCATCTCATAAGTGCCAGGGCTTAGAAGCCATAGAAGCAGAATCCTGGAGGAATCCGTTGGAAGAGGCGGAAGGCAAGGGAGATTTCCGTACAGAATCTGAGAAGAAAGCCTTTACAAAGATGCCGGTACCCAGTCCTGACCGTCAGGTATCTGTGCAAAAGCCATTGCCGACCAAAAGATTCAACCACATCCCTCCATCAGCTCCTCGGCATATCCCGATGAAAGAGCAACTCTGTGAAAAAGGGCTGGATCTCTATCGATCCTGGTCTGGCCAAAGCCTTTATCAGAACTATCCGGATCTCCACATTGGCGGCGATCACATTGCTTACCATACCTGCGATTCGGGTTGCGTCATGGACCAGGGGTGTAATGAACCATCCACTGGCCCTGTTCTGTGGTCCAGAGACATCCTGTCCCAATATTCCTCTGTCAACGAACCTCTGCAGAGGTTGAAGGCCATCAAGTTGAGCCATGGTGACGAATGTGGAGAAAGAACCGTCACCCTCCATAAAGAGCCCTTGTCTAACTCCATGATCAACAACTACATGGAGAGCAAAGTCCAAGAACTTTATAAGCTGGTTTTGGAAGAGAAGCTGACCCAGTGCGGCCACCACTCCCTGGTCTCCAATTGGCTGGTGAATAATATCGGCGAGCTGTCTCTGGATCCGCACGGCGGAGCCTCCAAAGCTCTCCTGCAATCTCTCGCTGCCTTTGGCCTGCAGAACACGAGCGGTGGGCAAAGCAGTGAATTCGCCACTCCGAATTTACAAATCTCGCCTCCACTTTGCAAAAGGAAATTATCTGCGGTGCATTCTGCATTGTGATGGAAAAGGAAAAGAGGGGGTGGTGGAAGACTTTGGAGTCCGTTCCTCTGTAAAGCGTCACAGACTCTTGTTGCAAAGCCAGTGTGAAGCTAAGGTCCCTGGTCCTTTTGATATCTGGTTCTGAGTCTTCAACAATCATCTTGGAACTGCAGAAGCTGGACAGGACCTTATGGATCATCAAGTCCAGCTCCTGTCAGGGAAGCACAGGGGGGAATCGAACTCCAATCTCTGGGTCAACTGGTGGGGACATGGGAGAGGGCCTTTTCTGTTTCTGCTCTGAGACTTTGGAACTCCCTCCCACTGGAGGCCAGACTGGCCCCATCTTTGCTGTCCTTCCACAAGCAGGCAAAGACCTTTCTCTTCAGGCAAGCTTTCCCTCAGGGAATGGTTGCCTGAGTGGCTTTTTAAAAAATTGATTGTTGTACCTCCCTGCTTTGAGTGTGTTTTGGCGTTGCTTATGCATTTTTGTAAAGTGTCTGTTTGATCCTTTTTCATATTTGTATACTCGCCATTGTTGGCTTTAATATTGTCTTTCAACAATGCAAGCCACCTTGGGGCCCTTTTTTTTAAAGGCAGGGTAAAACATTTTAAATAAATAAAAAAAATGTGATAACCTGCATTAGACACTAGTATTTTCAGTCTAGTAATGATCCAGTCAATATTTATTTATTTTTAAAAAGCTATCATGGGGGCAGCATTTAGAGTTGAATGAAACCTTTCGCTCATTCTAGCACAGGGGTGCCCGTTTGATTTTGAGCACCCTCGCTTTCAGCTTTTGGTTTCATTTGCATCGCGGAAGCGCTTGGTGGAACATTCCAGAGAGAGGTAGAGGCGCATCATTCTAACAAAGCCTTGGAACATGACATGGTTTGTGTGTGTGACACTTTCAAACTGATATTTATGGAACAATTGAGTTACTGAAGTTCTTGTGACAATCCTTTTCTACTTTAAAAAGATAGGAGAACTGAAACAAACCAGGACTTCTGCTTCCTATTGCTGATTTTCATGTGTGAAAGAAGCCTCTTCTCCTGCTTCCTTAAAGGCAAACACTTCTCTATCTGGCCATAATCGTAGACTTTGGGAGACACCGGACACAACAGCCGGTTCTTGGAATGTGCATCAATCAACAGATCTGTAGCCTCTCCTTGCATGTTTTAATGGTGGCACAAGATCTGTTCAACATAAAGTTACAGCATGGCTAAGAGTGCAAGTGGCAACCGAGATTTCTTTATTTCCATTTCTCTTAATTCTGAAATCACCTTGACATAATGGGCAATGTCCCAGAACTTTCCAGACCCTGACGAAGTACACCCTTCACCCTCCCTCTTTGTGCGGGTCCTGGGTGGACGTGATGCTGAGATCAGCTGACTTCTCCTGCGATCTCCCAGGCTTGTGTGGTACTTAACAGAACAGCCCTCAAGATGCAAGAGATGGAACATTTTGCATCTATAATCATATTGACGTTAAACTGACTGATGTCGGTAAACAATACCAGAAATTAGTATCTGATTAAAATTATATGTTGCAATATGGATATTTACATTTGCAACTTATGTCAAATGTCTGTGGATAAAATGGAACACAGAATGAAGAAGGCAGATAAATCAAGCTGGCAAGGAAGTTGGGTATGTTTTCAGAGGAAGATAGATTAAGCTGTGGCAGTGGAGAGGGAAATGAATGAAGAGATTTAATCACGCACACACAAACACAAGAGTGAACTCAGTGCCAAGTGTCTGCATTGAGATGGGCACCATATGCTCACCATTCTCTAGCAGTCTTGACGTAAACAATACCATGTCCGTCATGTTGCTGGCCAAATGCAGGAATGAGGATCTCTTCCCAACAGCCTAGCTGTGATCATTTGGGCAATGAAATTAAGTGTCTGGTGCTCTCCGAGAACTCCTTGGGCTACAGGAAGAGCAGCTCAAGTTGCCCACCTGGGACCTATATTCTGGAGAGCAAACCAAACACCAAATGATGGTTTGCAGTTGCGATTTCTCCGTAGGAACCAGCAAATCAGTCTTCATCAGGTCTTCACCCTATCCATTTTTGCACATGTGCCTTCAGTCAGGGATGTTGGCAAGTCTTTGGGTCCTAGTCAATAGTCCAAATCCAAGTCTTTGGCCCCAAGTCCCAAGTCTGAGTCTGAGGTTCCCAAGTTCCAAGTCTGAGTCTGAGGTTCCCAAGTCCCAAGTCTGAGTCTGAGGTTCCCAAGTCCCAAGTCTGAGTCCAAGGTTCCCAAATCCCAAGTCTGAGTCCGAGGTTCCCAAGTCCCAAGTCTGAGTCCCTATTAATTAGAAGGAAATACAAGCTTCTGCTCTCGATTTGAGTCAGGAGGGAAACAGATTCCTAGTTTGCCCTTTGTTCAACATTGGGTGTCCATTAGGAAGCCGGAGTGAAAGTGAGCCATTGATTTTGCTTTTTGTTCGGCTGTAGCCTGGAGCCCCTGTATTTTAATTAGCTGTGACCTATGGAATCTCTTGCATAACATTTCCGGCTTCACACTGAATATTGGCACCACACATTTAGATCTTCAGATTGTTCATGCATCTAATAAACCCAGGAAATATTTTAACACATGATATCACATTATTAAAAGTACTTAATTCCTTATTTGCTAATGCTAGGCCTTTGGTGGGTCTACCCACAAACATTTCTTGGTTATTCATTAGCTATGTTTACAATATTTGCAAGTATTATTTTAATGGAAAAACTGTAACATCTTATATATGAAAAGATAAGCATGTTTATATTACAAAATCTGCTGGACTTGTGTGTCTGGAGCATTTCAGAGGGTTTCTGTTTTGCTTTGACTTCGATTCCTGAATTTAGTAGGGGGTGAGACTTGATGGCCTTATAAGCCCCTTCCAACTTAGTGATTCCATGATTCTATGATTTTTAAGGACTGTCTATCTGTAGTGCAGAGGCTGGCCTTCCGTCATCATACAGGCCAATCTATTTCACAATGTGGTTTTCAGAATTGTACAGTTTGGTAGACGTGGTCCCTGGAGATCTGAAAGGTTTTGCAGCCGAGGTCTCTGCAGATTACCAGACCAGGTTCGGAACCATGTAGTAAACCCTTTGGTTCGAAGCACAGAAAAAGACATGATTTTGGAATGTATTATTTCAGCAAAGTTGAGCATACATTCTCCTCTCCTCCCAGCCCAGCTGAGCAATAGATTTTCTCTCTCTCATACACGCCCCCTCCGTGCAATTTAGACCAGCCTGCCTGGTGCACTTAACTAGAGTCGTGCCCAGAAGCAGTTCAAAGAGCCGGGCAGCCTGCCCAGAACCTTCTGAGACAGAGACGGGTCCAACAGGCAAATGGAGACCCTGATCCCTGGAGGGGAGACGTTGCCAGGATCATGGCCCTTCTTGGGAACTTCTGCTTCTCTTCTCCTCTCCGTCCCGGGGGCTGCAGGTCTCCAGGGTTCAACGATGCTGGAATCTCTCGAGGATGCCAGGTTTGGAGACAGCACAGGGAACGAGTCCGATGCCCACACCTTCTTCTCCCTGGACTACGAGCACGTCCAGGTACCTTTTGAGATCACCTTGTGGATCATGTTGGCTTCTTTAGCCAAAATAGGTAAGAAGCCCCCTCAACCGAGGGTGGAGGAAAAGTTACATTGGTGTAGAATAACAATTCCTCAATGAGCATTGCCTGTTGTGTATATTTTGACAGTAGCAGCTTCACAAATATCATGGCAATGTTCATGGCTACAATATACCGATATTTAACAGATACGTAGTTTTTAGTTAATAACAACAATAACAACAATAGCAACAACAGCAGCAGCAGCAACAACAACAATGATGACGATGATGATGATGAAGACGAAGACGACGATGACAACGACAATGACGATGACGATGATGATGATGATTATTATTATTATTATTATTATTATTGAACTGCAGAGCTAGAAGGGACCCTATGGATCATCAGCCCCTCCCAAGGAGGCACAGAGGAGACTAGAACTCCCAAACTTTGCACCAGATATCTGATATAGAGACCAAAACCACTGAGCAGTTCTTAGTGAGAACAGGCACCAATTATCATTGCGTTATGCCTAACGAACAAAGTAGTGCATTTAAAACTAAAACAATCCTTGGCTGCAAAGACTATAAAAGTTATTATTTTTTAACCTGCAACTTCCAGAGTCCCTACGCGGCACAGCTAGGAGATTCTGCAGGTCAAAAAAAAGAGAACATTCCTCAAGGTCTAACTGGGCTGTTCAGAGGACTAAAACCTCATCATACTCAGGACAGATAGTGACGGAGGCCTGTTGCTTGCACGTCAGACTCGAAAGCTTCCCGGGTGCGCCTAGCTGACCTCCGTTGAAAGCAGGAGGGTGGGTTAAATTAGCCGACCCAGCCTGTTTTTCCCTGCATGCGTACAGTATATGGAATTTCTTAATGGTGATGAGAAGAACACAGAGATCTGAGTTAAAGCATGTATTTGATGACGACAAGAAAATGTTTCCTTATGGAAACTTCTTCCTTTTGGATGTTGATCCTCCAGACCAGCATGAGCAATGTTAAGGGATCACAGGAACTTGGAAGCCAAACGCCAGCTGGCGCAGAGCTTGCCGACCCCTGCACTGTGGAGAACGATGCCATTTTTGGGTAGCCCTTCTCCACTATCCACACATGCGTAGCACGAAGCAATATTACAGGTATTACATACACTAGAAGTGAGCGAACGGTTGATCAGTGATTTGCAACAGATCAGTAAAGCATTTGTGACACCTAACCTTTTCTGTCTTATAATAATGCAGAAATAAAGATAACAAAGTGTGGATTTTTTTCTTCCACAAAACAGGTCTATGAGCTCAGATCAATTCTGGTATTTGCAATTAAATTCCTGGGCTCAGCATTCATTAATTCTGAGTGAGCTTCTTTTGAATTTTGGCTTAGGTATAACTGAGGGATCAAGCAGAAAAAGGAGTATAAGCCACAAGGCTGATGTTCGCTCATTTCTGGTGTGCATTATCTGATATGAATTATAATTATAATTATGAATGATCACTGTCATGCGTGAAACCTCCATAAGGGTCTTTGGAATGGACAGAGAAGACCTCAACCAGATAGTGAGACCTTCCAGAGATATTTGCACGATGGCCACAATCTCTCACCGCTGGCAATAATGGCCAGGCTTAATGGGAATCAAAGGATAGCAATGGCTGAATAAATCAGAATTTATCCGACCTGATGTCTTCCACAGCTATGAGGGCTACAATTTCCACTATCCTCAAACAAGCACACCTGGGAGTGCTGGGAGCTGCAACCCAATGTACTGTTGGCATTTTTGCAACCTCGCATCCTGCCTCTAGTAATTATGGCTGTGGAGGAACCTTTCTGGACTGGGGTGACTGTCAATCTACCTGAAATTAACCAATTGTTCTTCCCCTGATTTCAAAGATAGCCCCGCCTCTCTGCTCTCTTCTTTCCCTCTCTTTTTTATTTTATATATTTATTATTTAAAATATTTTTACCCTGCCTTTCTCCTTGAGCAAGGAGGCCCAAGGCATCTTGCATTATTGACAGGCAGTATTTAAAGCTGAAAACTATGCGCATACCATGATGATTTACATGATCAAAAGACAATAGTTAAAGTATGAGCCAGTCAGAGCACTAATGCAGTAACGATCCGTCTTTTGTCTGTTGGCACCCATCATTAGCTATTCTTGGTGACCATTAAGCCCAGAGACATTTTTGCATTAGCTACTGAACTCCACTGAAAGACTGTGGAGAAAATGGCTGCTATTAGCAAACCTAAGTCAGGGGGAAATTGGAAATCTGTTCTAGTCTGTGGGAAAACGTCTGGTTGTTCAGAACCGAAATGTGAAAATCGCTCTGTCTTGATTTCATGCTATTTCTCCAAATCCCATCTACATTTTCTTCCTCTCCAGCTTTCAACACTTTGGGTGTTTTCTCCCCCCTATGTTGAAATTCTTGCATATCTTGAGATATGCTTCCCCAAATGCTTGCAGTTCTAGACATATTTCTCTGTGCCTGGGCATGTTTTTCATAGTAACCAAAGCGTGCTTGTCAGCACTTTTTGGAGACGGGAAGTTTTGAGTTGTTAACATTTATTTATGTGTAATTCAAAGAAGAACTACAGTACTAGGGAAGAAAGGGTGGGACAACCTCCCACTTGTGTTCCCCCCCCCAGACATTTCTGCTTATCGTCTTGTGGTACCTCATAATGTTGAGTTAGGACAACTCTAACAAGGATTTAACATACATGAGATAAGAGTTCCTCCTTCATTTTTGAAGAAGAGCATCTCCATCAAATTCACCATTTAGGGAATAAAAGAAGCAAAAGTGGCTGGCAAAGGCTGAGCAGAAGCATGCAGATGCATACAGCATGAAGGCAAATAATAACTTAGCCTAGAAGCTATGGAAGCTGCAAGCGTCAGCTGGTTTTGGGCTCGATGGAATGTCAAGAAGTTCCATCCTTGCTGCCTCATTTCTCTCTTCCTTTGAGCATCCGTGATGCTTTTGATCTCAGATTCTTTAGCCCTTTCTTGTGGCACAGGGGTCGAACTACACTACTGCCATCAAAGCTTTGTTCACAACTTGAGTTCAATCTTGATGGTCTCAGGTATATAGTTGGCTTGAGGTTGGCTTAGTCGTCCATCCCTCCAAAGTCGCTAAAGTGAGTACCCAACTCCCTGGGGGCAAAATGTAGTCAACATAATTAAATTGTAAACCACCCAGAGAGCACTTTAAGCGTTATGATATATATAAGCAGCTCGCTTTTCTTTTTCTTCTTCTTAGACCATGTTTGACAGATATGTGAGATGTTCTCAGAGTAGAGATGGACACGAAATTCAGTTTTGAGATTTGTGCTGGTTTGTCAGTATGGCAACACAGATGCCACATGTTCCCTTCCCCCACGCTAGCCCTGGCTGACTCCCCCACTCGCCAGCCGGTGCTCGCTTTTCTTTTCTCTGTCTTCTTCTTAGACCATGTTTGACAGATATGTGAGATGTTCTCAGAGTAGAGATGGACACGAAATTCAGTTTTGAGATTTGTGCTGGTTTGTCAGTATGGCAACACAGATGCCACATGTTCCCTTCCCCCACGCTAGCCCTGGCTGTGAGATTTGTCAGCGTGGCGCCACAGATGCCACGTGTTCCCTTCCCCCACGCTAGCCCTGGCTGACTCCCCCACTCGCCAGCCGGTACATGCTGTTCTTTCTTTCCCTCCTCTTCGTGTGATCGTCTGGTCACAGTAGGAGCACATGCTTCCCTTCTCTGCCTCCTCTGGCAGCCACCCACTCAAAGGCAGCACTGCAAGAATCCCTGCCCCGCCTCCTCATCTGAGTGGGCAGCTAACAGAGGAGGCAAAGGAGTAAAGCACGTGCTTCTGCTGGGACTGAACGATCGCACAAAGAGGAGGAAAAGAGCAGTGTGACCTGGTGGGTGAGTGGGGGAGCTGGCCAAAGGGTGGGGGGAAGGGAACATGTGGCACCTGTGGTGTCGCGCTGACGAACTGGCACAAACCTCCAAACTGAAGTTCGTGCCCATCTGTGCCTCAGAGTATTTGCTCTTGCCATCCCCACTGCAGTGTTTCCACGGGAATTTGAACCCAGGTTTCCAACACCGCACTTGGCCCTCCACTATTAGTAATCCTGCAAGCCACAAATTGGGTAAGCTGATAATTTTAGAAAACAGTTGCTGCATTTTCCGGCTTCCCCACTTGAACATCCTAGTCTACCTCTGCCGAAGATCTCAGGATGGCCTCTGCATAGCCCTTTGCCTCTCTTCCTTTCTCGTGTTAACACTGCAGCCAGGGAGCACAAGGACGTATCTGTCCGTGTGTACAATTCATGTCTGTTAGGGTTCCAATGCCCAGCATGGACCTGAACCAGGACACTTATCCGTCTGAAAACCGCTGATCTCTGTAAAAAGCGCAAGAGTCTCTGGAAGCTCACAGAGACATAAAAAAACAGAGTGCTTTAGGGAGAGAGGGAAAACACATTGGCAGCGTTGGCCAGAGTGGGTTTCAGAAGGCCATGTTGATGTTTTTGGCTCTTCCCAAATCTGAATGACCAGCATGCACTAAATATAGAATGCTTCATGAATAATAGAGCCCTCCCTGATTATCGCCACTTAAAAGCATGTTGGAAAGATGGCCCTTTATGGAACGTTTAATTCCTTTCTCAAACCTTGGGCTGAGTTGACTGTTGCAACCGAGATACTTAAAGAGAAAGGATTAAAAATGCATAGAGTTGCATCTATTTTGATACTCACTCTGAGGTCCAGAGAATTAGCTGGAGCACCACCAAAAGGCTTACAAGCCCCCAGTGAAAAAGGTGGACTGAACTTTCATTTAAAGTAGATCCCTAAGTTTTTGAAACTCCCTTTTAATAGCTCAGTGGTTTGGGTCTCTCAATGCGGAGCCAGAGGTTGGCAGTTTGATTCCCCTTTGGTGCCTCCAGGGAGAAAGGCCAGCCTGGGTGGCCTTAGGCCAGCTGCACAGTGCCACAGTGCCCCTAGAGGAAGGGAAGGGTAAAGCACTTCTGAGTATTCTCTACCTTGAAATCCCCCCAAAAGGGTCATCTTTTCTTTAGTCATCCCATTCAAAATGGATTTTATTCTGCCTCTTCACCGTCCCTACCAACTAATCCTGCAAATAGTGGCACTTTTGTTTTTCATTTCTGAATGCCCAATAATAACTAGCGGTCACCAGATGGCATTTGTTTTGCGTCGTTCTTTAAACTGAAAGCATAGATAGCATTTCTTCAGGAAGAAAAGGGTTTAGCGCCGAACAAACAAACATCAAATGAAAGCCAGTAGCAGAGACATAATGATGTGCTCTAAAACAGGAATCAAACAGAACAAATCAGAATGAAATGAAAAATATGACATTGGCAGTCCTGTGTGCATTTGCATTATAACTGCATCTGCAGTGACAATAGGGCACTGTTATTTTAATACTGTGTTGTTACTCCTTCAATAGGGAAGAATCTTTGAACTTATGACCAGTCCCAACTACTACTGTTTCACTAGTTTCTAATTGTTTCAAAAACAATGGTTGGCAGTGTTTCTGAAGATCTCTGGCATCCATAAATCATACTTCTTTTCAGAAACTTAATTACATTGTCAATTCCTGCCTTCCCCTCTGCCAGCAATTTCTTATGCCTCAATGAATGAAAGTGGTTTAGGTTTGTAGTCCCCGTAATGGCAGCTCATGTGATATTATGACAGGATTTTAGGAAGACGGAAGTATAGCTGTGTCCCACAAACACTCAAATAGAGGGAAAAATGTAATTCAAATAACTGTGAGAGACAGAATGTATGCATTTGGAAAGAAATGTGGGTGAAAATTCTTCACATGTGCCTATGCCAAAGACTAATGCTAGCCTTGGTATTATATAAAAACAGAAATCTGGATATAAATCCAGTTGCTAGTCCCAACTAGAGCTGACCTGCTGCCTCAAATGCTGGATGGTGAATCATTATTTATATACATCCCATTGATTCAATGGGTCTACTCCAATGAAGACTAACACTTGGATGTATGTAGACCTTGTTCTCTGCTGTTCCTAGTGCAAATCTATAAAGCCACCAGTGAAAATTGCAAGGAAGCAGATGAGGATGATGATAGTGATAAAGATGGTATATTTTTCAAATCTTTCAAAACGAAACTTCCAACAGCCTAGAGAGTAAACCATGCTTGATACCGGAGGAGTGGAGACTGGATTAAAGCTTCAGGCGATATTCATACACAACTGAGAAGAAATTTTAAGTTTGGATCCCCAGCCCACATTCATGGATTAAACAGATGAGGAGTAAGTGCAGGGACTGACCACAAAGGAGCACTGCTAAATTCCTGCTTTATTCATTTGTATTTTTTCACTTCCTAACAGCCTTGCTTCTTTCCCTCCACAGCTTTCCATCTGTTTGAAAAATTACCTTCCGTCCTCCCTGAGAGCTGCTTATTGATTTTTGTGGGGCTCATTATGGGAGGGATCATTTATGGCCTTAATGACAAATCCCCTCCCGTCATGAACAGCGACATCTTCTTCCTCTACCTCCTGCCGCCCATAGTCCTAGACGCCGGCTACTTCATGCCTAACCGTCCTTTCTTTGAGAACATTGGGACGATCCTCTTGTACGCCGTGGTGGGAACCATATGGAACGTCTTTGGGATCGGCTTCTCCCTCTACGGGATATGCCAAGTTGACATCTTCCACCTCAGCGATATATCTTTGCTTCATAACCTCTTGTTCAGCAGCTTGATCGCAGCTGTCGACCCGGTCGCCGTGCTGTCAGTATTTGAAGAAATACACGTCAATGAAAAGCTGCACATTCTGGTGTTCGGGGAATCTCTGCTCAATGATGCCGTCAGCGTGGTGAGTAGCTCGAAACCAAATGGAGCCCCATTAGCATGTGAGGAAGAAGAATCGATCCAAAATCTAGAGTGGCAAAGGTCAGGATAATGTCAACGGAAAAAAAAAAACCAGACTTGAACAATGCCCAGAATTGATTGAGCAAGGCTATTTGTAAATAAATAAATATAAGGACTTATCCTTGGTGTGTTATGTGCCGTCAAGTCAATTCCAACTTACGGTGAAATTAGTAGAGGTCCAAGTTATGTGAGATGTTTAAGGAATGGTTTCACCAGTTAGTTTTTGTGAATAAGCAGAGATTTGTACTCCGATCCTCTAAATCCTTTTCTAACACTTAACCTGCTCCATTACACTGACTCTCGCTGGAGACTGCATATCATGGCTTAGGAAGAGCCCTGATGAATGAGGCCAGCATTCTGTTTATACAGTGGCCAACCAGTTGCCTACGGCAGTGGTTCCCAACCTTGGGCTTCCGGATGTTCTTGGAAGTGCTTTCTGTGACCTCTTGATTGGTTTTTTTGTTTTTCCTTTTGTAGGTCTTATACAAGCTCTTCCGATCTTTCTGTGAAATGCCGTCCATCAAAACAACGGATGTGTTTGCAGGCATCGGGTCCTTTTTTGTGGTGGGCATTGGAGGTGTCTTGGTAGGCCTCCTCTTTGGTCTGATAGCAGCCTTCACCACCCGCTTCACCAACAATATCCGAGTGATCGAGCCCCTGTTCGTCTTCCTCTACAGCTACTTGTCTTACCTCACGGCCGAAATGTTCCATCTCTCTGGCATTGTGGCGTAAGTATCCTCGGATACTGAAGGCTTCTTGACTGACTCAGCTGTCCACAAGGAGAACATGAGGGGAACAGCTTACTTCTATTTGGCTTCCCTGATAATTGATACACTATCTGGAGGTATCTCCATCATGACTATCCAGTCATAGATAGCTGAATCCCCCATAAACAGACCCAACCTGCCTTTAAAGCTGTCCCTAGTTGGTGGCCATCATTCTATCCAGCCATTTTGTATCAAACCAACAGCCCGGCCGGTCCAGCTTTCTGTCTCCACAGCAGCCGGCCAGATGCTTCTGGGAAGTCCACCAATGGTCCATGAGCCCAAGAGTGCCTTCCTCTTGCCCTTGTTCTGGCAGACGATGCTCAGACATGGGCTGCCTTAGATGCCGGCGGTACTGTAGCCCTCATGGATGGAAGCCGCCAGCCATTTTATCTTCCCTAAGGGGAAAAAAAACATGAGAAGCATGGTGAATGAGAAAGAAAAGAATTCATTTTCCTTCTCTTCTTCCCCACCCGAATATCAAAAAATATTTGAGCAGATATAGATGCCTGCCTCAGAATATGTTTTACGATGTCTCTGATACCCGTGGAGGTGTTATCCTCCTGGGCGGCCTAGCTGGGGTAGAACTTGGAGACACGATTTCACAACACTTCCAGGGCTCGGTGGTGTGGGTGTGTATAGTGAGGGGGTGGGGCGGGATGTGAGGGATTCCAGAAAATGCTTCCATTTGGGGCTTGGGACTCAGATTGGGACTTGCCAACATCCCCGCACCATTCTAACTCATGCTGGTCCTATTGATCTTTCAGTATCATCCATCTTGTTGGAGATCTTCCCATACTCCCTCTTCTGATCCAATGTCGTCGTCCATGTATTTCTCTTTTCTATCACCATCTTGTGGTGTGGCCTGCCCATCTCCATTTTCATGACGCCATGTGCTCTTTTACGTCTATTATTTTTGTCTTTTGCCAAATGTCTTGGTTTCTTGCTCTATCCATTAGTCCGATATTTAGCATCTGCCTTACGCTGGCTCCATGCATGTCTGAGAGCTTTTCCATTATGGATCTCACTTAGGACCTTCTACCTATCCGTTCCATTTCTATCCAAGAGAACAGTCCAAAAGCTTGCCCACTCCTCAAAATAATTTTTAAAAATTCTGCTACTCATCACGCAAGTGTTCATGCACCACTACAGGGAAACCAACGCTTAAGGAGTACACGGTGCAAGCAAAACATGCCTTTTGTTTCTTGTTTAAATATTTTGATTATAAAATACCAATTTGTCTTGATCTTAGACTTCTTTCAAGGACGTTGTCCACTAAATGAGGTGTAACACCAGTTTTTCTTGCAGTCACTCAGTGTCTGTTATGGACATGGAGATTCCTTTTCCTTGTTCGGTTCTCTCCTCCTCTTGGCAAATTTAAAAGGGGAAAAAGTGTGTGTGGGGGGTTGATGTAAGAGGCAAAAGATTGCGACACTTAAAAGACGCTTTAAGGACAAATGGGTTTATTTCAGGGTAGGCCTTAGTTGATAAAAATCCACTTGTCTAGACCCAAAGGCAACCACAGTCTCTTATACTTATACATATCCCTAGGGGGGCAGATTTCATGAACAGATAATATACAGATAATATTTCATATACAGATAATAGCCAAAGGGACAATAGTCCATTAACACAGGAATGGGACTGTAGAGCTGTTAATTACTGAGCTAGGTGATAAGCTGTATGTGAGGTAGACTTGGCTGTCACTCATGGATACGCTGCTTTCTCCTCCTACCTGCTCACGTTGCAGCTTCACGTTGCAGTGTTATGTCCCCTGCCATCCACGAGTTACGGCGAACCTATGAATGAGTGACCTCATAAATATCTTGTCCTCAACAGCCCTGCTCAGTATTCAACCCAGTCAGGCTTTTGTTTCACAAGGGTTCCAGAAGGCTTTAGAACAAGGCACACGTCTTAGGATCCTGAGGGGAAAGAGCCTAAAAATGTCTGGAGAACACTGGCTCAGGGACAAAACTATAGTTCTAAAAAGAGGCAGAAAAGAAGGTGTAAAGTAAAGGTTCCCCTTGACCTTTAGTCCTTGGCCCAGGGACAAAACTATAGTTCCAAAAAGAGGCAAAATAGAAGGTGTAAAGGTTCCCCTTGACCTTTAGTCCAGTCGTGTCTGACTCTAGGGGGCGGTGTTCATCCCCGTTTCCTAGCCATAGAGCCAGCATTTGTCCGTAGAAAATTTCCGTGGTCACGTGGCCAGCGCGACTAGACATGGAACGCCGTGACCAAGGTGGTACCTGTTTATCTACTTGCATTTACATGCTTTCAAACTGCTAGGTTGGCAGGAGCTGGGACAAGTGACGGGAGCTCACTCCGTCATGTGGATTCGATCTTACGACGGCTGGTCTTCTGACCTTGCAGCACAGAGGCTTCTGTGGTTTAACTAAATTTTCTCAAATATAGTCAGCCAGGCTATCATATTGACCTTTGAGGATGGATGGGGGAAAAGGGGGGGGGGAGAAAGAGAGTTATATATTTGAGATTCTGCTTTTTCTCAACTTCCTGGTGTTTTAAGCAGAGGTGGATAGCTCAGTGGTTTAGATCTCTGGCTCCGGAACCAGAGGCTGGGAGTTCGATTCCCCCATTATGCCTAGTGAAGAGATGGAGGTCACTCTGCCAACAGGAACAATCAACGGGAACTTCATACACCATAGGGAATCTCTCACATTTTCACAAACGGGCTCAGCAACACAGCTGACTAACAGGGAAGCCTGTGAAGAGCCATTGAGCAGATGTTTTGGCTTCTCCTCTCTTGAGGAGAAGATGTGAAAAGAGCTTCTCTGTCAGCTCCTCTGAGAATAATAAGGATAAGAAGAAACCTACTGTGAAACTGAGGGCTCAGGTAGCTTACACTGCACTTCACAGAACATAAAACCTCAGTTCAGGAAGCAATGTTATTGTTCTGTTTCTCCTTTATTTTCTTTATTTAAAATATTTTTTACCCCACCTTCAAAGGATCCCAGGTGGCTGCATTTCTTTATATTTATTTTTGTGTGGTAAGTTTTCAGGCGGCTGCATTCCTTTATATTTATTTTTGTGTGGTAAGTTTTCCTTCTCGAAGAAAGAGTAAGGCAAAGAAACAAGAGGAAAAAATAAGGTTAGGTGCAATCAGATGATGACATAAACACCACATCGGATAGTGCTGGAAAGAGTTGCTTTCAGAGTGTGATCTTAAAATGGTTCCTAACCTTGGGTAATCCACATGTTCTCGGACTGCAACTCCCAGAAATCCTGGCTATCACAGCAAATGGCGAAGGTTTCTGGGCGTTTTAGTCCAAGAACATTTGGGGGGCCCAAGATTGGGAGCCATGGCTCTAAGGTAACCTTTCCATTGGTTCAGGATCAAACCAGCCCTTTCCAAAAACCGAGAGAGTGAAAACAGCCATGCCATTTGACCCCAAAAGTCTGGACGAGGCACAGAGCAGCGTCGGGCTGGTTCGCAACTTGGAGAATGTCATCTGGTCACTGGCTAATAGAAGCAAACTAGACCATGCTGTCAGGGCTCCAAGAAATAAAAAATATAAGAAGAAGAGGAAAAAGATCTAAATTATTGTCTGACTGTACCCTTGTTTTCAATTTTACCTTTAAATGGTGTCCAGGTTTTCTGTTTACTCCACAACCACAAAATCTTATGCAGGTAAATATATTTAGGCTGGAGGTTTCCTAAACAAAAGGCTTTGACGGCATCAGAATGAAGGGTTTCTATTTTTCATTTTCAGGCAAACATGCCTCAAAGTATGAACCACTGGATAGCTCCACTGTACCCTTGTTTTCAATTTTACCTTTAAATGGTGTCCAGGTTTTCTGTTTACTCCACAACCACAAAATCTTATGCAGGTAAATATATTTAGGCTGGAGGTTTCCTAAACAAAAGGCTTTGACGGCATCAGAATGAAGGGTTTCTATTTTTCATTTTCAGGCAAACATGCCTCAAAGTATGAACCACTGGATAGCTCCACAGTTTAGGAGCTATGGTTTCCTTTAGGGAGTCAGGCCATTTCACATTTGGTCTTCCTCCTTTCCTGCTGCATTCAAATCCCCCCCCCCCGCATGGTGGTCTTGCCTTCCCACAAGGGCTACCGTGGTCACATTAAGTGCCTCTTGTGTAAAGATCATTTGCCATTTTGTGAACCTTGGTTTTGAAACACAAGAGGGCAGCAGAGGAAGTAATCTAGCTGGAATACTGTACAGGGGAGCTCTTGAAGCTTTCATTGAGATTCATTCACAATGGAAGCTAAAGCAACTGACAGTAAACACAGTCGTGCCCCGCTTTATGATTACCCCACATTACGACTAAGCTGCTTCACGATGACGTTTTTGCGAGATCTCCCCCCCCTCGGTGCCTCCTGGGGAGGGGCTGGACTGGATGATCCATAGGGTCCCTTCCAGCTTCTGCAGTTCTAAGATGATGTATGCAAGCAATCGTATGAGGTGCTTTTTTTTCTTTTTCAGCATCATTGCTTGTGCGATAGGCATGAAGCGCTACGTGGAGGCCAACATCTCTCTGAAGTCCCACACCACCATTAAATACTTCATGAAGATGTGGAGCAGCGTCAGTGACACACTTATCTTCATCTTCCTTGGCGTCTCCACCATTGGTGACAATCACGAGTGGAGCTGGCCTTACATCTGCTTCACCGTCATTTTCTGCCTCCTTTGGAGAGCTCTAGGTAGAGGGGGGGGAAAGCGGGCAGGGTGAAAGTGGAGGGGTGGGGTGTACAAGATGATCCAGGAACTTCTTTCACCATAGTGTTGGCCAGCTGACCTATTTTAGGGGCTGTCTCCATTCGTGTTTCCCAACCTTGGGTAATCCAGATGTTCTTTAAGCTGCTTCACGATGACGTTTTTGCGATCGCTTTTGCGACCGCAAAACGATGGTCTAAATGGGGGAATTTTGCTTAGCGATGATCGGTTCCCTGCTTTGGGAACCGATTTTCGCTTTACGACGATCAAAAACAACTGATTGTCGGGTTTTCAAAATGGCCACCAGGTGCTTAAAAAATACCGAAGCCTATACAAAAATATCAAGACCCAATCAAGCAAACCATGTGAAACATGGTCCAGCAATTTACAAAACATTACAGTTAACATAGCCGTAAATATTCCATTTGATACCTAAAGAGAGAGAAAAAAAATCAATCAGGATGATATAAAATTTATAAATGGTATATCCATACATTCTTACAACTAAACCCCTGCAATAAACAAAGAGCTAATAAAGCACAACCCCATATTTTAGATCAAAATGTACATTATTACCGCATCTACAGCTTTGGAAAGTTACTAACTTTTTCAAGTTCTGCAAGTCGCTTGTTATAACGAATGCCATGAGAATTCATTCGGTCATGAATAAAGTAACAGTTCTGTTTGAAACAAGGAAATCGGATCACAGATGAATATGCAAGAAATGTTCTTGCTGGATAAGACCGAAAGGGCGATCTAGTTTTTAAGAGTGACCATCTCATATGGTTACTTCTATGGTCTATTATTTGACTGGCATTGTGGCTGCAGAAGTACGTTGAGAGGTGCTAGCAAACAATGAATGAAATAAGATAATACAGGATAAAACCCATCTAGTTTGCAGACACCAACGCTCTACGATGGCTAAAATTGAGGAAAAGTTTTCTCCACACGTCTTAAGTTCCAAATATTAAACCCGAAGAGGCCAGGCTAAACCTACAGAGAGCAAAATCAACACAACTTGTTGGATGGATGAATGTCCCCCACCAGGATAAGATTCTCTCTCACTGGACCACCTGGAATTCACTTAACAGACTTCAAAGTGAAGTAGCAAGATCAAAGAATAATCAAGTAAAGCTGGAAACCACTGCCTAGATGATGAGGGTGCCCTCTAAATGTTGGTGCCCTTGTTACGGCCTGTATTTCCCATGGGATATACTCTCCACAAGGGATGTGGTGGCGCTGTGGATTAGACCGCAGAAGCCTCTGTGCTGCAGGGTCAGAACACCAGCCGTCATAAGATCGAATCCATGCAGCGGAGTGAGCTCCCATTGCTTGTCCCAGCTCCTGCCAACCTAGTGGTTCGAAAGCATGTAAAAATGCGCGTAGATAAATAGGTACCACCTCAGTGGGAAGGTAATGGCATTCCGTGTCTAGTCACGCTGGCCACGTGACCACGGAAACTGTCCTTGGACAAACGCTGACTCTACGGCTTGGAGACAGGGATGAGCACCGCCTCCTAGAGTCAGACACAACTGGACTAAATGTCAAGGGGAACCTTTACCTTTACCACATCAGCTAACTTGCTCAGTGGATAGCAAGAGTGATACTAAGAGGAGGAGGCTCTCCCTCAGTGGCATTGCATTCATGCGATATAACCTCGGGAAATCCAGGCTGAGAGGCTGCCTGGCCTTTATGGCTTGTCTTGGGCAATTTGTCAGCGCCTGGGCCCATGGCCTCCTCGAAATTTTATGTGACCATGCAGAACTTCAATCAGTGCAGTACTTGTGTGCATGCAATTTATTCCCCACCATGTGTACAAAGGAAGACCTAGCAAATGGCCAAGATAACACGATTGAAGTAGCCCACGTCTGGTCAAAAAACAGTCTAATTAACTTAGCATTTTAATTTATTTTAAATTTCACCTCTATTACGTATGCATTTATCATTTTAAATTGTGTAACGCTCTGAGGTACGAATAAAAGAAAGAAAGTTTATACCCATCATCTGGAAGTCAGACCTACACTGCCCCTGATTCTACACATTCCATAGATCAACAAGGGCTAATAGAACTAGGAATGTGCTCTGGTTTGAGCAGGGCTGACCAATTTGGGACGCCCAGGTTCTATGGAACTCCAGCTGCTATCAGCCCTAGTTGTTCTAGAGCCAGTGGAGAAGAATGAGGGGTTCTGTAATACAGAGGTTGTGGAAGATGAACTGTGCCTGGTTCTTTGACATCTCTATTAATAACTGTGTGCCATCGAGTCAATTCTGACTTATGGGAGGAAGTTGGGGTTGGTTTTAAGACAGGCCTTTGAATTTTCCTTGGCTTTGTTCATTTCAGGAGTTCTTGTCCTGACTTTCATCGTAAACCGGCTGCACGTGAATACGGTGACATCCAAGGACCAGTTCATAATTGCATATGGCGGCCTCAGAGGGGCCATCTGCTTCTCTCTTGTTTTCTTGCTTCCTGACTTCCAAAGGAAGAAGCTCTTCATCGCTGCAACCACAGTTGTGATCCTCTTCACTGTGTTTGTACAGGTAAATGCAGGTGATTTGTTGTTTTTTCCATTTCACCAGAGTTTTGGCTGTATGTACAGTGGACCCTTGACTTACAGATGGGTGCTGGGTGTTAGCCATGACGAAGGAGACCTGCACCCACCACCTGCTGCAGAACAGGGTTGGAGGGGGAGGAAGGGGTTAGGATCAGCCAGCCCTTCCTACTCAATATCAGCATTTTCTTGCAGCTTTCTAGGCTGACACTTAACACAGCGTTAGGAACTTGTTGGGTCAATGTTTTCTAACACCCTCAGACACTCCATTAATCCAAATTTTGACATGCTACAGATCATCACCGACTCATATTCATTCAGATTAAAGTTGAGTAATATTAACACCATGTCAGTGTTATAGCACATTCTCTTGGAGAATTTCCAGAACCACCTGAATTACACTTCTGGGTGCCACTGACAACCATATTAGTGGATTTGTGGATTAAAGATTTTACTCAGTTGACACATATTTATGACAGGATGTGCTTTGAGAAGAGGGAAGTGTACGAATCCGACTTTTTTTTTGGCCTTCTAGTGCCATCTTGTGGTTAAATATAATCTTCATACTAACTAACCCCTCTTTTCAGAGAGCCCATGTGGTGTAGTGCAGTGGTTCTTAACCTTGCATTTTGAGACTGTTCATCTTGTTCAAGGCCAAAGTATACCAATCTCAGACTATTTCAATTTCTTCACTGTCAACGTTACCGTTTCATAGTTTCGTCTGTAGTCATGATTTTTGCCTTCTTAACATTCAACTGTAGTCCTGCTTTGGCACTTTCTTCTTTCGCTTTCCCAATGTTCATTTCAAGTGATTGCCGCTATCTGCCAATAGGATGGTGTAATCCTTGTATCTTAAATGACTGATAAATTCTGTGGCTAAGAGTGCAAGTGGCAACCGAGATTTCTTTATTTCCATTTCTCTTAATTCTGAAATCACCTTGCCAGAATGGGCAATGTCCCAGAACTTTCCAGACCCTGACGAAATACACCCTTCACCCTCCCTCTTTGTGTGAGTCCTGGGTGGACGCGACTTTTTTTTTGGCCTTCTAGTGCCATCTTGTGGTTAAATATAATCTTCATACTAACTAACCCCTCTTTTCAGAGAGCCCATGTGGTGTAGTGCAGTGGTTCTTAACCTTTGTTACTCGGATGTTTTTGAACTGCAACTCCCAGAAACCCCAGCCAGCACAGTTGGTGGTGAAGGCTTCTGGGAGTTGCAGTCCAAAACTCCACTACTGGTGTAGTGGATAGAATAATCTTAGAGCTGCAGAGCTGGAAGGGACCCTTGAGGATTATCAAGTACAGCTCTTCTCAAGGAGGCACAGTGGGGATTTGAACTTCCAGTCTCTGTCTCCACAGTAGGTTCCTAAACCACTGAGTTCGAGCATAGAATAAGATTCAGGAGACTTGGACTCAAATGTCTCCTCAGTCTTGGAAACTCACTGGGAGGCCACAGTGGTAAGCTACTCCTTGTACATCTCGGCTACCTTGAAAACTCTACTAGGGTCAACATGAGTTGGAAACAACTCAGTACACAACAAGCCTTTTGTCACAGGGTCAGCGCTGAGAAACACAATCAGGTTTACCGGCTGACAAATTCAACAGGCACACCTGTAGGGTGAAGCTTCATCTGTTGAATTTCTGCAAACAGGGGCTACAGTCATATTGCTGTTGTATGCCATCAAGTCACATCTGATGTGCAGCAACCTTAACAGGTTCAAGGTAAGCAGGATGTTGAAGGAATAGTTCCCATTGTTGCTCCCCAACAAGTTTCCATGGACAAGCATGGATTCTGATCTATGAGGTTAAAGTCCGGCCACCCCCAAACTTACCAGATGGGTTGGGTGGTGCTATTTTGTTTGCCTAGGGCCGAAGCATTGAAAGTAGAATGCCGGTTTTGCCCTGATCTTGGATCAAGCATGTATTATCATTCCCTCCCACACAACCTCTCTTCGCATCCCATTTGTCTCTCTCTCTTTTTTTGCACTGCAGGGAATGACTATCCGGCCACTAGTAGACCTGCTAGATGTCACCAGAAAACAAGAAAGCACCCCCACCGTGGGAGAACAAATTCATATGAGGGTAAGTGCTCAGACACAGGTGTCCACCTCCCTGGAAAAGCTGCTGCTGACCAACCCACACACTCTCAAAGCCATCATGGTGCGCTCTAGAGCAGTGGTCCTCAACCTGGGATCCCCGGATGTTCTTGCTGGAAAAGCTGCTGCAGGTGTCCACACACTCTGAAAGCCATCATGGTGCTCTAGAGCAGTGGTCCTCAACCTGGGTAAGCTTTGCTCGTAGCTGTTTAGTAGAAGGTGCAATTTGCAAGCCTGAGTGACAAGGCATGAACCTCTGAGGAAATCAAGCGGTGGGAAGAAAAACACATTAATTGTAGAGAATATGCTTTCCTTTTAACTTCTAGTTTGAACCTATGAGAGAGAATCAGGTGCAAGACTTGATTAACCCTCTGTCATGACTTCATGTTCAGCAAGTCCAGCAGTTTAACAAGCCTCCAAGAACATCTGGAGACCCAAGGTGGAGAACCACTGCTCAAGAGAGCGGGCCGCATCCTGAATGTCATGGTGAACATCTCTGGATCTACATAGGCTTCTGAGAGAGGCTGCAAAGAGTAGACCTTTGGTCTAGATGGGCGGGGTATAAATCTAATAAAATAAATAAATAAAGTCCTTGTGCGATGGTAGAAGTGGACGACACCACCCCAAGCTGCAGCTGGCGCTGGGTAATGATCCTGTAGAGTGTTTTCCTATGTTAAATAGTCCCTGGAAATTGGAATAAATGCACATGAATACATTAAGCTCCAGTCTTCAGCTTGCTATGTTAGTTTTCTATTTCCAGAGCATATTTCTATGTCAAGAGGCATTAAAAAGTATGCCTGATGTCTGAATTGGAGTCTGATGTCTAGATTATTATAGACCCGTCTACCATTTCATTCGGTCCCCATTTTGCTATATTGATAGAATAC